AATCCAGGGACTTTCCCTAGGCAGGCACAGGACCCATGTTCTACCCAGGTGTCACCGACCAAGGCTGAGGCCCAATGAGCATTCTTGAGTCCACAGTGCAGCCCGAGGGGGAGGTGGGGGATGTGCCACCACACCTTTCTCATGACAAAGACTGTTGTCTCCCACAGCCTACAAATGCTGTCTGGATAGATGGAGTGGGGTGATTTCTGTCATCTATATTACCCAGCAGGCCTTTGCCAAGCCTTCAGGAAGGTTCACAGGGACTGGGAGAGCCCTCAGGAATTACCCAGTGACAGGAACTTTAAATCAGAGCTTCTGGGCATCATTGTGGCAGATAGTTGGTCTCCCCCTCAAGAAGGCAATGACTGTCCCAGTGACACTGCCCTTTCTTCACAGGAAAGACAGTGGAGGAAAAGGCAAGGGCCCTGGAGTCTAGGTGGAAGAAGGACCTGAATGAAGTCTCTCAAGCAGTTCAAGCTCTGCAGCAAGATTCACTGAACAGGATAACGTCCATACAGCATGACCTTCGGACCCTCAGAACTAATCTGGAGAGAAAACTAGGTGAGCAGAGCTATTCCCCAGCAGGTCTTCATGTCTCGGAAAGCAGAGAGATGCTCTGCAGGCAAACTGTCCCTTGACCTAGACCTTCTACCATTCTCAAATTGGGAGCACTGGACAAACCTTCCTTGTGAGCAGCTTTTATGTCCTATGCCAGCAGAACATCTTGATCCTGAGATAGCAGCTGGAGATGGTCAAGATCTTTCTTCTCTCCCTCATCTTTGAAAGAAGTGAAAGAACAGTGTCTTACAGGTCCTTTATAAAAGGAAAGGTCCAATGTCATTAGTGGGAAAAGACCTCACCTCAGGGAAAGCAAAATCATTGTCCACTGACACCAATATTTCTTCGGAAGAAGGAAAGTAGAGGCAAATGCCTCAAGGGGCCTGGTATTCATAGATTCATACATTGGGTTAAAGGTTGGTAGGGCCTCTAAAGATAAACTAATCCCAATCTCCTGCAATGACCAGGGACACCGTCTACTATACCAGTTTGCTCAAGGCCTTGTCCAACCTGTTATTAAACACTTGCAGGTTTGGGGCATCCACAACCTCCCTGAGCAACTTTTTCACTGTCTCACCAACCTCACAGTAAAGAATTTCTTCCTAATATCTAAACTAAATTTTCCCCCTTTCAATTTACACCCATTACTCTTTGTCCTATCACTGCAGTTCCTGATGCCGAGTCCCTCTCCAGATTCCCTGTATGCCCCTTCAGATATAGAAAGGTTGCTGAGATGTCCACACAACCTTCTCCACACTGAACAGCCCCGACTTTCTCAGCGTGTCTTCATAGGGAAGGTGTTCCAGTCATCAGCTTACTGGCAGTCCTCTGAACTTGCTCCAGCAGTTCTATGTCCTTTTTATGTTGGGGACACCAGAACTGTGTACGGTACTCCAAGTGGGGTCTCACAAGAGCAGAGTAGAAGGGGAGAATCCCCTCCTTTGACTTGCTGGCCACACTCCTTTGAATGCAGCCCAGGACACAGTTGACTTTCTGGGTTGCAAGCACACATGGCAGGTCATATTGATCTTTTCATCACCCATTACCCCCGAGTCCTTCCTTGCAGGGCTGCTCTCAACCACTTCTCTGCTCAAACTGTAGGTGTGTATGAGATATCCCTGACTCAGATGTAGGATCTTGCCCTTCATTTTGTTGAACTTCATGAGGTTGGCATCAGGCCACCTGTTCAGTCTGTCAAAGTCCCTCTGCCTGGCCTATCCCTTCTCTCCAGCATTTGTCTGCACTACACATCTTAGTGCCATCAGTGAACTTGCTGAAGGGAGCAGTCAGCCCCACTGTCGTTGAATCATAGAATCAACAGGGTTGGAAGAGACCTCAAAGATCATCGAGTCCAACCCTATCATCATTACTAGACCATTGCACTAAATGCCACATTCAGTCTCATATTGAAATCCTCCAGGGATGGTAAATCCACTAGATCCCTGGGCAGCACATTCCAATGCCTGATTACTCTTTCCACAAAAATTCTCCAACCTAACCCTCCCCTGGCAGAGCTTGAGTCTGTGCCCTCTTGTCCTACTGCTAGATGCCTGAGAGAAGAGACCAACCCCCACCTGACTCCAACCTCCTGTCAGGGAGTTGTAGTGAGCAATAAGGTCTCCTCTAAGCCTACTCTTCTCTGGCTAAACAACTCCAGCTCCCTCAGCCTCTCCTCATGCCACTTGTGCTCGAGTCCCTTCACCAGCCTTGTAACTCTTCTCTGGACCTGCTCCAGCATCTCAATATCCTTCCTGAACTGAGGGGCCCAGAACTGCACACAGTACTCAAGGTGTGGCCTCACAAGCTCTGAGTACAGAGGCAGAATCACCTCCCTGGTCCTGTTGACTATGCTGTTCCTGATCCAGGCCAGGATGCCATTGACCTTCTTGGCCCCCTGAGCACACTGCTGGCTCCTGTTCAACTTTCTGTCTATCCAAACATCCAGGTCCCTTTCTGCCTGGCTGCTCTGCAACCACTCTGCCCCCAGTCTGGAGTGCTGCATGCGATTGTATTGGCCAAAGTGCAGGACCCAGAACTTGGCCTTGTTAAACCTCATCCTGTTACAATCAGCCCATCTCTCCAGCCTATCCAGGTCCCTCTGCAGAGCCCTCCTGCCTTCCAGCAGATCCACACTTCCCCCCAACTTTGTGTCATCTGAAAATGTGCTGATGGTGCACTCAGTGCCCTCATCCAAATCATCAATACAGATATTAAAGAGAACTGGGCCCAGCACTGATCCCTGGGGAACACCACTAGTGACCAGCACCAACTGGATGTGGCACCATTCACCACCACTCTCTGGGCCATCCAGCCAATTTGTAACCCAGCCAAGAGTGCCCTGTCCAAGCTGTGGGCTGACAGCTTTTTCAGGAGTATGTTATGGGAGATGGTGTCAAAGGCTTTGCTGAAGTCCAGGTACATGCACAGCCTTCCCCTTATCCACCAGGCAGTTCATTTGATCATAAAAGGAGATCAGGTTGGTCAGACAGGACCTGCCCTTCCTAAACACATACCGGCCGGGTCTGATGTCTTGTCCATCCTATAGGTGCTGTGTGATTGCACTTAGGATGTTCTGCTCCAAGACTTTGCCAGACACTCAGGTCAGGCTGACAGGTCTGTAATTTCTCGGATCCTCCTTGCAACCCTTTTTGTGGATTGGTGTGACATTCACCAACTTCCAGTCATCTGGGACCTCCCCAGTGAGACAGGACTATCAGTAAATGATGGAGAGTGGCTTGGTGAACTCTTCTGCCAGCTCCCTCATCTCTCGGGGATGGATCCCATCCGGTCCCATAGATTTGTGAGGATCCAAATCTTTCTTGTCGAGTAGCTCTTGGTTCCCATCCTCTAGCAGACCTGCAAGTTGAAGTGGTGACTGCAGATGATCCCTTTTCATTCCCGTGCCTTTGAAGGAAGTGTGTAGCATGGACACCCTATGACCTGATGTGGTAAAGG